TTTAACGATGCGTGATTTATATGACACGGCGGCGTCATCACAATGTAGGTGTCACGGAGGTGGAGGAGGTGACGCAGCTTTTGATCAGCAATGTTCAACTGAAAATAATGCGTGGGGGGAATAAGTTTCTGTAACTCTTTCTCGTCTCTTCCTGCATGCTGGATTTGGTGGGCTTTGCCTAATGAGACGGAGGTAAGCTATCAAAATGCGGTGGAGTTGGCCCCGAGGTTAATCGTGCGCGAACGCTGGTTATGGACAAGTACGCGGCGCAAGTGATGGCGTTTCGCAATTGGTTTCTCACTGCTAACATAACGTTTGCCGGGTATACATTATGCGTGAAATGCAGCTGCCCTGTGCTCACCTTCCGTTCTGTAAGATGAAGGATAAAACGGCGTTGTTCAACATGTTGCGATCCTTGTTGTGTACGCACGACTGTGCATATTATCATCGTGTTGTGCAGAGTATATCTGTGCGCAGTGGTGAATGCTTCTAGTACCTCCGTCGCATGTGGATCCCATAGCGGCTTAGATGGGCACCGAATTTGATGGGCCGCGTGTTGTTGTTACTTTATGAATACATTGTGACACACATAACAGTGAGCTCAAATTGGCTAGATCTTCATTTAAGACCACTGGTCAAGGATTAATACGTCTCCTTTATCCATTAAAGTAGCAAATACCGACTTCAATGTTTCTTACTTTTCCGCATTCAGTACAGTAAATCAGTAACCCTTCCCCAATCAATATTATTTAAACCTGTTTAGTTGATCAGTATACCCTCTTTCCCTCATAAGTTATCACCTCCGCACAGACTAACTATCCCCTTAGATGCTTACTCACGATTGCTTTATGCACAGCCATTTTTATTGCGGGATTCAAAAATGTGTCCTTTAAGATACCTAGAAGGAAGAGGACTAATGATAAAACAAAGAAACATCTATCGTAACAATTTACATACATAAAATTACTCTACGTCTGCACTTTTGTACCACAAGACCTTTTCAAATTAACACGGTTATGTTTCTTTCTAAAGGCATAACATTCACAAATCCTTAGACTTTTAATTTTCCATACATTCCACATCCCATATGCAGTATTGAACATACATGTACACAGAGATAAACCTATAAATTTCCTACTTATAAACACAACATAAGTGCTCAGAGACTTCTTTTACATATGTATATATATATGTACATATATACACATGTAATCCTATATAAATATGTATAATACGTATGTGTAAAGTCTCCATGCGAGTCCTACTCTTTATAATTGAAGGCATTTTCGCGGGACGAACGGGTTTGGTCTCTGATGCTCTGTTGACGATATCGCTGAGTCTATTAACGAACTCTGTCCAAACTTTGTCAAATGAAATTTTGTTTGAGAATTCCCAAGCAGCTACGTCGGCGAGTTCTTTCGATACGTGGTAGCGTGTGATTGTATGAGTTAGTTCCGAGTGTTCAGATGGATACTCTGCATAACACACATAGTTGTACCTTATTACTGCATGGTCACTGAAATCTAATGGACTATCCATCAATAACTTGTCAACCATGAGCTCTTCATTCGTGAGCACAAGGTCCAATATGGACGGTTTGTTTGCTGTCCTGAATCTAGTGGGCGTGGTGACATGATTGTACAAAGGAATATTAGAGATCAATTCCTGCAAGTCTGCTTTGAACTACTCACTGGGCGATGCCGAAACCTCCAGATTGTGTAGATTGAAGTCCCCGGAGATGAGAATGTGGCTGTACCTAGTGCGTGTTACTCTGTTTAGGCCACGGATCAAGCAGGAATCCATTTTCAGATTGGACGTTGGGGGCGGTAGCGATAGCTATGAAACATGTGTCGTTGTGTCTTAGTCGGAGACTGCACCATAGTGAGTCGGTAACGTGTGTTTCCAGGTCCTCAACTATTGTACATTGTAGATCGCTGCGGTAGTGGAGTAGGACCCCACCTCCTCTGCTGGGGCGGTCGTTCTGGATGATTGATATTTCGGCTATCTCAACTTCAGCATCGGTCACCTCTTCTTGTTACCAAGTTTCGGTAATAGAAATTAGATCCCAAGCATTCGCAACCTGACGTAGTAGAAGTTCGGTAATTTTACTGAGGATCCCTTAGGCGTTAATGTACATACATGAAAGTTTCTCAGATTTAATCAATGTTTCAGTAGTTGTACAACTCATACGTGAAGTTTCGCCGACCAGTGAGTGGCGAGCGACTGGATGGATGGATGAAGCAAATGAGTTTACGCCAATAGAAGGCGAGGTGACAGAGGTACTTTCAAGAGGGCATTTGCTTCCACGTGGTGAAAGCTTTCTTTCTGTCTGAAGGCGAGATTTTCCCGTAGTTGTTGGCGGTCGCTGCGAATCCTGATGTCTTGCACCGTGACATTTTACACATGTCACTTGAAAAAACCGATGTCGGATGTCGAGATGTTTTCGAAACACGTCAACGGATAAGAGAATGCACGAAATATGGAACCAAAAAGCACAGCCGAAGCAGCGAAGTGCATGAGTCTTATTTTCCACAACTTTCGAGGACGAACCACAAGAGACGGTATCACAAGCTACATCAAATCCAAGATGGCGGACAGCGATGTCCGTAGGGCAACTCAGTGTGATATCCGGAATTAGCCAAAGAATAGCCTCCAAATTTGCACCGTTTGAAAAATACGCCAGAAGAAGAATATTGATGTACAATTCATACCAAAAATGACACTGCTAACACAGTACTCTGAAGCAAAGTAGTATCCAGCCCATGGGTATCCAAAACTCCGCGACGTCCGTGGGTACAGCCTCCTGATGCTGAACAATATACCCATTATTTGTATTATTATTGTTATCTTCATGCGGTATATTCTTTCAGCCAGGGTCGATACGAACCTGGAGCCAAAATATGTTACTGGTACTTTTCATCTTGGATCGATCACGTCTTGTGCGCTCGATACTTTACGGTCACTTGCTGGAAAATTGGCATAGGGACACCGGCTACCATCCGGGTCAGAATACGAACTAACGGTAGCGCTTTCCGACAACAGATCTGTTAAAGGGGTGCTGAGGGAGAAGTTCCAAGCACATCATATTAGGTTGACCAACTACAGTCAGGCGTACTGTCTGTGACCTCTAGCACCGACACTCTCATCACTGTCCGCTTTCCGTCAACACCAATGTGTCAACCTATTTCGAAACATATCCCTCCTTCATAGAAGCATACATCTAGCTCAGTGCTTATGTCCAAGGATCCCCGTTGGATACTGTCGCATGACCGATGATTGTGTCACTGATAGTGCGTGCATGCAGCCTCGCAGCAAGAGAATGAATTGTTACCGGCGTGAACTTGAATGAACAAGACGTTATTTTGATTATTTAACAAGCTAACTTATTAGCATTAAAATAAGTATGCGCGCGTTTGCCGGGAAAAATATACAGATGTCCGCCTGCAGCGCGGCACAAGTGGCGAACTTTTGCCCAAAACAAAAATTGTTGTCTTGGTATTCCAAAGTAAGCTTTGCAGTGCGCAAATCGATGGCTTCAGGTTGGTGCCACCATAGGTGATTTTACCCGGTCTGTCCCTGAGTTCGAATCGCAGCGCATGCTAAGTTGAATCAACTAGTCAATAACAGTGAAGTTAACGATATCTAGTGCTACATACAGTCTACAATATGTCGAATTAAGATTTTAATTCAGTCGCTTAAATAGCAACGTGATGACTGCTCCTTAGGTATTGCTACATATGGGGAGAAAGACTGTCGTATTCCAAAGTTTTAGCTACCATACAAAGCACACGACTCAACTCTAATAGAATGCCAGAACAGCGCCTGAATGGGAATGAAATAGTTACCAAGCTGTGCCTTGATCAGCGTCGTAAAGGCAAGTTATTTGCAACCTTGCAAATGACTTCAAAGGTGCTGTTAAACCGTCAGATTTTAGTTTTCTATTCATTCCGCAGCTACACACACAGAGGAACAGCTAGCCCACCTGCGCTGTTTCTTGAAAAAGGAACCGGTTACAGCCAGTTGGTTGCGTGGGATTAGCGTTAGTGACAGCTGTGGGCAAGCGTTCCGTAGATAAAGAGCTAGGCTGGGTAGATGGCCGATAGTTGCATACATGTAGATCTAGATTTGGGAAAAGAAGTCGTGCAACAGGTCGGTTTGATAGTTTGACATTGAAGCTGCTTCTGGATAGACTGTTTTTGCTGCAATTTCGAGGGGCGCAGAGCTTTCGATAGTTACCCTTGTTACACTTGGTACAAGTGGTACAGTCTCTGTTAAATTTGGCCTGATCATTTACGTGCTAAAAGTGAAGGTGGGGTAAGGAAAGTCAGTGATTCGCAGGGATTACCTTGTCTTTTCAAGAATAATATTAATAACAATAACATAGTATATTTTTCGTGGTATCGATAAAACAAGCTAACAAAGGGATGGATCATATTTGCATAGCAGCACGCTCAGGCTTGGGAGGCTGTCAATGCTTTGGGATTTTGCTATGTTACGATAGGGATGTTTTGCCGAATATTTCCACTTGGGACTTCTGTGGCCGAATGCAATCAGTTCGCAAGCATTCTCATTTGGTTGTTTTCGGTACAGCTTGGTGGGGACGGTTTGATGGGGGGGGAGGCAATATGAAAAGGATAACATAGTTAGATGCACCAATCAAAATCAGGGTAATACGCGAGCTTGCTTAATAGGCTGCAGTAATAACGTTGTAGCTATTTGTGGGTAGTAAACTAGGGAGTGGCGAAAATAAGAAAAAGGCTAGCTTAAGGTAACCTCAATGGATCATCAAACTCAAGTTGATCTAACAGAATAATATAGACAGTATTCACATCGTACGGACTTAAAGCAAAGCTTGATGTCTAGGCAGTCTTAAATAGTCATTATGGAATTGAACTAACGAAGCATTTTCCAAGCACGCCGCCCACTACCGAATTTATTCCTCATTTAAGTAGCTGTATATTTGTGAGGTAGTTACTTAAGCCACTCAGCCCTTCGACGTACATCGCTATATTTTGTCGTGCAGGATGACCGGTTGGCGTCATATGCCATTAAGTATGAGTTCCGCAGCTGAGAAAGGAATGTTGTTTTTAAATTCTGTGCATTTTTAACTTCACCAGTGGGTCTTTTGACGTGGGTATATATGTTGCTTAGAAGCTTCAGGCCATCACATCATAGGATCGGCCCACTCGTGACCAACAGAATAATAGGCGAATAAATTAAAGTATTTAAATTGGGGACAGAACTAGCAACGAAATAAGTAGACAATGGCACATCTCGTGACATTGTGGGATGCGGATGTGCGAAGATATTGCAGGTTTAGAGTAAAAGGTAGAGTTATAATGGGTTAACCTCTCCTTACAAAAGACAATAGGCGATGTGAATTATCCGGATGCTATAACCCAGTAGAATATTGCTAATACATGAAGGAGAGATAATGCCAAATACAATTTTGGATTTTTGTTTCTCCATTTGCAAGTGGGACTTCATGGGTGGCTTTTTCGAGCATAGACTAAAGCTACGCTGGAGTGTGTTGAAACTGCGTTGTAGGTCATATATTGTTTGGACCTGGTGAAATTAATACATCTATGGGTACTCGAAGACCGATTGCTTTCATTATGTTCTGCATGGTGCGAAAAGCTCCCCAAGTTCAACTTAAATTTTGTTAGCTTCTCACTTGTCCGTATTTTTAGTGGTAGCAGTTTCTATATATAAAAACGCGTTATCAGGAAAAAATTAGAGTGGACCTAAAACTTTTCCATTTTGGGTAGTGCGTAACTCCTATTTCTTGTGGGATAGGTTGAAGAATTTTGAAAAATTAGATCTTTTCCGGCCGTATACATTCGGCCATGTTTTTGTTGCAAAAATGGGTAGATTATTTCTTAGGCGGCGCAACCAAAAATGTCCAGCTTAAGTTGGCGACAGCGGTCTTCATATTTCGGAGTAGTAGACCGGGGTTTCGTGAGAGAACGCTGAGCTTTTCTAATGATATTCGATCCGTTCTACGCAGGAGACTAGGGTAATTGTGCAGCAGTCTATCTTGGGTCACACGATTATCTTAAACATTTTCAGTTTCGCTTCGGGTAGCACAAAGGATTTAATGATATTGGCTTTCAATTGCCTGGCATTTGCTATCTGTTATGAGGTGTTCGGAGAAGCTTGGCGATGCGCAATATATTATTCAAAGGTCCGTGACTGAAGAGAAGCTTAGGATATTTGCACCTGTTAGGGTGATGGAGCTATCCGGTATGCAGCATACATACACAGGCACTTGCGATGTTTCAGCGGAGAATTTCATGGGATAATTTACACCCCAAGGTTCTAGAGCGGATAAGACTTCATGTGGGTTCATAGAGCCCGACTCAAAAATATCGGGTGGAAATAAGCAGAGAAAATTATTTGTCCGTAAATCTGTATAATCGTAAATATTCGATGAAATCACAGTAGCTGATTATATACATTAGGAAGAGTAGCGGTCCAAGGACGTTGCCCTGGACACCACTTATAACTTCTTTCGAAGAGGAGAGTAGATGCCTTACTAAAACTGGGTACGATTTTCTAGATAAGATTTCAGCCACCTAAGCAATGTGTTGCCGAACCATAAGGGTGCAGGACGGACAGCAAAGGTTAATGTGACATATGGTCGAACGCCTCGTGCATGTCCAGCAGAAATGGAGCCAGTACGACACAGAAAGTGGAAGGCAAAGCGTGTATTGCCACAAGGACGTGCAACTGACAACTCACAAACCTCTACCCATTTGGACCGTGTTTCCTTCCAACGAGACAACGTGGATAAGGATTTGTGTGACTGTCCACTCTAGATACATAGGAGGTTGGGCTTCGGGTCAAACCCTCCATCTTTCCATCCCGTAACCGCTTCGCTACATCCGATTCTGACCGGCCATAAATCGTTCGCAAGCTCGTCATCTGCTCTCCAGTGGCTGCACTATACGACCCGCGTTCACTCCTGTGGGCTTCGCTAGCGGCGTATTTGTCTGCTTCATTGCGTTCTCGACAAATACCTCCATTGTTCTGGTCCCAGGCTCGTTACTAGATGCCTCCATTGATCCGTTGTCGGCTCAATCCGTAACGTTTGCAGAGCCTTGTCTCGTCTCATCCATTGCGCCCGTTGGTAATTTTCTACAAGCTCGATTTTGTTTTCGCTCCGATGAACAATGAACAATGAACAATGATATATTACAGGTAAAAAAGCGATTGCTTTACAAGTCCCGTAGGATGGTTGAAGTGAAAGCAAACATCAGTGTAAATCGTCAGTTTAAGCTTCTAGTGAATTCAAGTGCCTCTTATTCATAGAAACGCTGTAGAACATGTACTGGATTGTTACTGTAGAGTATATGGGAAGTAATATGGGTAAGGCAGGTCTTAAGAACAATAGAAACGACCAACGCTTACTCGTGCGCCGCTTTTTGTACTGCGTATTGATGAATGCAGTTGTAACATATCCGATACTATATTCCACAACAGCAGTGTGTCACTAGTGAAGCACAAAAGCAAAACGTTTCTCTCTGTCCGAGTAGTCACTGGCTTCCGCCCAGCTACACCCGCCCCTTCTCGAAGATGTTTTTCCCTCTCTTGCCATGGTCGCAGTTGGGCGAAATTCATCCAGCCCTACGTTCCTTTGCTGTCGATTTGGAAATTCGCTCCTTTTCGACCGAATACAGTTTAGAGGCATTTCCAGCCTTCCCTGAATTTGCTCGCACCTGGCCTTCAATAACTTGGCTATACTTGTGCCTTACCTTGACTTGTTCACCAATCCTGAACGGCGTTCACTTGTGAGCCTCATACCCGGCGTTGTAGTTTTTCTTATTGCGTGCTTGTCGGGCTCTTGTTCCTTTTCTAACAATCGCTTTCCGTCGTGCATGATGCAGTGCCGGATGTTTCCCTTCACTAGGTTTCCCTAAGCACGTATCGAGAGTAATCGGTGGTTCTCGGCCAAATTCGAATTCGGATGGCGATACCTTGCTGGTCGACTGCATATTGGTCCGGTACGTGAGCAAAACTTTAGACAATGCCACCTTCCATGCCAACTTTGTGCAGTTTATTCACGTCTTCATGCTTTGGTTAAACTGCTCTGTCATTCCGTTGGCCTGCGGGTTGTACGGTGAAGTGCGTCGCCTCTGGATGCCCCACTTGTGTAAAATAGTCTTAAATGCTTTCGACTCGAAGCTGGGCCCTTGGTTGGTGAGAACACACTGTGGTATTCCATACGTTGCTGGCACATTGAATTCGAATGCCTACGACACGGTCTCGTCTGTCTGATTCTTGATTGGTATGGCTTCCACCCAGCGAGTGAACTGATCGATCATCACCAGAAGTTACCTGTTTCCTGATCGACTCATTGCTAAGGGCCCGAAAACATCCAGTCCCCAACATTGAAGTCGCACATTAACTTCCATCAATCGCATAAATGGTGTCGATGCATCTATCTCACGACGCGTTTGGTACTTTTGGCATCACAAAATGAATGCTGTGACGTTCTTCCTTATGGTAGGCCGAAACACTCCCTCGGTAGCCATTCAACGACACTTTCGGATCCCATATGGGCGCCATCATGAGTTATTCGCATCACTCGATCTCGCAGCTTCGGTGGGAATAAAGATAGTATCTTTCCGTCTGTTGTAACCGTCACATTATCGTTTTTGACCCTCAGTCTGTCCCAGCTCCTAAGGAGTTTCTCCACCTCTCTTGATGTGGCCTCATGTTTGGTGCCAGTCTGTAAGTAAGATCAAAGTACCTACAAGAATTCATTTGTCCTTTGATCATCCAGCAGGTTCCTGTCCTCCACTGTGACCGCGCGCACCGGTATAGTGTTGTCCGGCATGAGGTCGTCCAACGACGGGCGTGACAACATATCGGGTAGTATGTTCTGCGTTCCGTCTAGGTGCTCGATTAGGAAGTTAATTTCTTGCAGTCGGTATGCCCACCGCGCAAGACGTCCCCTTCAGTCACCAGTAGGCAAGTTCCCCATTTATCCAAGGCCCACACGATGACAGCACACTTATTCTCCGTCGAGGAATACTTCTGTTCCGCCACTGTCAGTACTCTGTTGGCATATTCAACCACCCCGACTGGTTGGGACAATACCGCACCGATTGCCACGTTGCTTGTGTCCACTTTCAACGTGAAGCACGCATCTGGATTGAGTAACCGTAGACATGTTGGGGCATCTGCTATGCATGTCTTTAGACGGTTAAAAGCTTGATCCGTTTCGGCTATCCGCACAAACGGTTCGTCTTTTTGAATTACCTTTAACAACGGGATGATCCTCACTTCAAAAGGCGACACAAACTTCGAGTCACAAACCACTACTCCCAGGAACGAACGGAGCAGACACTTGGATTTCGGCACTGCAAAACTCTTGATCATCTCGTGTTTCACCGGAATCCGATGGACTTCGCCATTGTTCACAATGTGGCCCAGACATGCGTTCGACTCCCAAGCAATCTGTGACTTCTAGCGACTGTTTCAGACAAGCTTCTTCCAATCTTTGTAATGCTGCTGCAAACCTGATACGATGTTCGTGCTCTGTCTCGGAGAAGACAATGATGTTAACCTCGTAGACAACCACGCCT